AAAAGCTATATTGCTCTATATAAACAATACATGCTAAGATGCTAAGCTTGCATCTTTATTTTAGTTCTTAAACCTTACTGTTTTTAAGATGGAGCTTAGCAAATTTCAGAATGGAATTATATGACATGGTTGTCAAACAGCAGGAGACTGGATTGAATGACAGAGGAGCTCTCTTCCAGTTATATGCTCTATGCTCATAGATTAAAAAGTGAAGATGTAGGATAGTCTCAATTATACTTTATTCAAGACAAGCTACTTTATAGGATTATATATAGTATTAAATACTTCAAAGGTACAATTAATGTTGTATTCAAATGGTAAGAAAAGTGAATGGTTTGATAAGATGTTACCATGCACTTGTCCATGTAAATTAAGTTTTGGATTTATACTGTTTAGGATACATTTAAAATTTGTTGACTGTAATGCAATGGCAATCTACATGAACTGGCATTTTCAGAAAAAAGAAACTGGATAAAAAGTCTTCATTACCAAAAAGGTGTTGTTCCACCCTCCTCCTTTTTTTTGTTTTTGTATGTAGAAACAAAACAGGAGCTACTTGAGGTTGACAATATCCTGCCTTCCTTGCCAAGGGCTGATCTTGCTGAGCTACATCATGGTTACAATTTCAGAGATGTCTCCACTGGATCTTACAGTGAAATAGCTATCTTTAAGAATGTGAGTTAGCTAACAGTCTTTCTTGGTGTCCCTAGACACATTGTGACAACTTCCATTGATGCTGAATAGGATATACAGACTTAATGAAGTTTATATTTTTAGCGAAGTCCTGCTCACAAGCTAAGCTGGATAGAGTCTACTCACTGTATCACCTGCTTTTAATTTTCATAACAGAAATTCAAAGATAGTATAATTTGTGATTTAAACTACATGTTGGCAAGAGGGTGACAACTAGCAGCAGCTGGAAGATGTTGTGGCTGTATGGGTAACAGCAGTTGGTCAATCTCTTGTATGGTATTTTTGCTTCCTAACATCCCATCTATTCAGCAAATTGCCCAAGCTTACATTCACATAAAAATATGTCATTTATCTCTGGAAGTCATTTCTGAATTAGATTTTTCCATGATCAACCAAAAGCAATTAATATCAATTGTAAAACTCAATGATCCTAATTTGTATCCTACCTAAAAATATGTTAACACAGGGGCTTTCAAACTTTTTTAAGAAGTGTACCCCCTCCCTGCCCACCCCGGGCCCTGCTCCTGGGAAGCAATGGCACAGGGTGGTGGGTGGCGGCACTCTGTCCTCACCCACCCGTACCCCCTAGCCCCTTTTCCAAGTACAACCCCTGTGTTAACGTCTTGCAGTTTGCTATGCATATAATATTCCACACCCAATTCAGATAACTGTATGCATCTTCTCAAATGTTCAATTTACTGTGCATAAAATTATCATCTAAAAAAAAGTTTGGGATATGTTATTAAAATCTATAATGTGACAATATACATTTACATAAAAGTTAATTACAAAAAAAAGTGATAAAAAGCTTTAAAACTACCTATCTTACGACAGCATTCTTAATTTGATATAAAGTTAAATAGGTTCATTCAATAGCATACCTGCAAAAGTAACCTTTCAAAAGCTAGGAAGTTGTCCCATTTGGCATTCTTGGGATGTTTTAAAGTCTGGATTGTGGCTAGCACAAGCTGTAGAAGTCCACAATGGTTCTCAAGAGCTTTGAAATTATTTTTGAAAAGCTGGATGTAGGAGCTAAGCTGTTCTGGGGTGACTCTGCCTGTAAAAACAAACAAACAAACAGGACATATTACCAAATATTCCATGACCAGGAACAGCCAGGTTATAAAGCCTGATCCTGTCACAATCAATAGGAGCTTGAAGTTGCATTATGGTAGTATGTTTGGACTCCAACAGAAATCACTTCATTCTTGACCAAAGACTTCAGAGATAGAATATGGTGAATAGTTAACAGGATACAGAGGGGGTCCTTACTCCCCAGCTTGTAGGCCAGATCAGCCTGTTGTGCCATGATATCCAGCCCATAGGCTTGATAAAAACTTGGCAGTAGGGGAGTGCTGGCAGCACTAATGGCTGCTATCTGGCTGTCATATTTCCAAACTCATGCAAAGCCCCTGTGCACTGGATAGCATGGCCATACATGCTAAATGGGGCACTCAGGGCTGAGTGGAGGGGGTGTGAGATCCAATCCAGGCATGTAGAACTGTGGTTGTATGGGACCTGGTCTAGGCACACAGTGAGGGGCAGAGCTGTGACTGAATGGGACCTGATCCAAGTGCACAGGGCTGGGGGGTGGCCACGCAGGGTCAGTTCTGGGTAAACAGGAGCTTGTCAAGGCAGTGCAGAGCCAATCTGGGTGTGCAGGAGCTGCCCAAGGAAGCATGCGGCCAATCTGGGTGTGCAGGGGCTGGCTGGAGGCAACAGAAGGCCCAATCCAGCAGCATGGGCCCCGATGGAAGAGGTGCAGGCTGCAGCATCCAGGTTGCAGACCAGCCCTGCACCATTCATTCAGCCCAAGAGACCAAAAGAGTGAGCACCATTGGCATACAGTGATTATTAATAGTGGGTATTGGCAACCTGCAGCTTGGTCAGAGATTACATCCGGCTGCACAGCTGGGACATCAGCAGCAGTTCAGCAGTAGGGGAAGTGGCATTTGGGTCAAAAGCTTGTCTGTTACAATTCAGCAGCAGGACAACTAGCAGCAGCCAGATCATAAACACTAATTTGGCCCGCCACTCCTAAAAGTGCTTTATAGCAATTGCCAATAAGAAGTGTAAGCTCACCTTCTGTCATTTGGATCTGCAGGTAAGCTACTATACCATGTGTCTCTCAAACACTATGTTTGTGAAAAGCAGAATGGAATCTTTAGTGACCACAAGTGGTTGGCTACTGAGCCATACATCATACCCATGACACTGCACCCTTTAGCTGCACAGTCCTTCCCCCATGCACCAGCACTCTGCTAGGACAGAGAGAAAAATGCAACATACTGAGTGCATTTACATGTGCACTTAACTGCACAGTTGGCTAATTAGGTCTGCAATAAAGCATCAGCATCTACGTGCGAGTCCCTATTAGGGCACAGTAAATAAACTAACTCCACTGTGGGATAGTACTGGCTGGGACTACAGCGAAGTTATTTAGTGCGCCAAAACACATATGTAGACAGTGACTGGAGCTGGCTGGGATACAAGGGTGCTACAACATGGGCGCTGCCTGTTAGCTAGCTCTGCACTGTAGCACCTTCATGCCCCTCCATAGCACAATGAGCTGAGGTGAAGCAGCTTTGGGCTGGCAGGCTGAGCCCTGGGCTTCCTGTCAGCCAGGGCTCTTCCACCCCAGTTCAACATGCTACAGTCCCAGGTGCATTTGTAAATGCTACAGCCAGGCACAACAAACTCCACTGCAAACTGCACCAGAGTTTACTGCTAATTGCACATGTAGATACACTCACTGGGCACATCCACACATGTGGGCATGTGCACTAGCAGCAGCTCAAACCGTAGCGGCACAAATCTGTGCCAGAGATTTGTACCTCGGTATACATGCCTAAACATGTGCTTTGGTGTGGGACAAATTGTGCCACTTGGGGCAAACTGACCCTGCTCAGCTCCTCCTGGATCTTCAGCTAGGGGGAGCTACAGCCTGTATAAAAAGCTGCCCTAGCAAGCAGTTCAGGGCTACTTGCCCTCAAGAGCTTCTGAGGCCCAGTCAGTTGGCATCTGGGAACACTAGCCCCTTATGCCAGCTGGACTTTGAGATGCTGCAACAGGCATGTGTCAGCTCATCTGGGCACGCCCACTGAGTCATCAATGCGAGGAGTAAGAGTGGGTTTTTTTGAGACATGCCCAAAAGCTTGTCTAACAATTTTTCCAACTATTCAGTTGGTCCAATAAAAGATATTACCAAAAACCTTGCATATCATATATTTCCTGGACAATCACAGATACAGCAACAGTCAAACTCTGAATCACTTACGTCATTTCTCAAAATATTTCTCATAAGGAAATCCCCCTGGCTTTTCTCAGTTGGTGAATGCTAAAAAGATCACTGCAGAGCACCATGTGATACCCAGTAGTATATAAGTTTCTGCCCAGAAAGAGCAGAGTGAGATTCATCAAGCTGATCTAGCTACTAAATGTATATATGAAGAATTTTAATTATATACTTAATCCTAAAACAAATAATCATTTCATAAAGTATTAACCATATAAACCATGTCACTCAGTAAGCCTGTTTAAAGAATACCCAACCTTGCAAGTAGGTCCAAGGCAGGGGTGTCAAACACATCACCTGCAGGCCAGATCTGGCCCAGAGAGCCTTGCCATCTGGCCCTCGGTAAAGCCCCTGGGTCTGATTGGTCACACATGGGGCATGGTGCATGCCTGGAGCACGGGGTCAGTCCGCAGGCCAGATCCCACACAACTCATTTGGCCCCTGGTACAAGAGATACTGAAGGACCTAGTACCCAGGGCTCATTATTATACTGTTAACTTTTGTTTTTCTCTTTGCTTTCTATGAGGAAGGGCTATGATACCTGGTCTACACTAGGAAAATTACTCCTTGCTGAAAACAGGTGTCACCAAAGCTCAAAACTGAATTATGCTGAACACTACATGTTGAACTGGGTCTATGGACCAAGAAAACCATGTGTAGAACCATTTAATGATTTCCAGAACTTTTCTTCAGCAAAGAATAATCTTTCTAGCATAAGTCAGGCCAAAAAGTGGCTTTGCCTGGGAAGGTTTTATAAATGTTTATTTTATCATTACTATTTTCTTCATTTAAAAAGAAAAAAAGCTTTCTGCCTGCAACCACATTTCTTATTTTTTCATTTCAGTAGTTTATGGGGCTATGCACTTCTTTTCTCCTCTTCAAAATAACATGAAAAAATGTCCTATTAACTTCACTGATTCAAAAGATACATTAGGAGAGCTGTATCTTTAAAATATGGAAAGGCACTAAACAAAATAAAGAAATACAAACTTTTTATAGGAAATTTATCTGAAAGCATCAAAGAAAGAAGTCAGCAAATTAACACATAAATCAAGCTGACAATGCTTTAGAGGGACTAAGCTGACAAAAGGCTTCTACATTTCATCCACATAGGCTAAAACAGCAACCACAGCCAGATGTGTTTTTAGACTAAACATTGGAGCATTTAGTCGTGTTTTATTTCCTTGAAAGCTGTGTCAGGCAGATTTACATGGTGATTTGAAAATGTCAGCCTATCATGCTTTACCCCATACCTTTGATAATAAATGCACTTTTACCTGTTAGCCTTCATGATATATAGTAGCATATTCCAAATCTGATAACTTATTATAGGTGAGAAAATGAAACTGCAAGTTCTTACCTCCCAACAAAAATGGTCAAATGAAGAGCTTATCAAGATCTCTGATTTTAAATTTAGAAAAAGAATTGCATTTAATTCTCCAGTATTCCTTACACAAGTGAATCCAAATGTATTACTGGTCTGTCCCTTCAAGATCCATTCAACATTATTTTTGATAAACAAAGAATATCTCAGCAAGTATATTAAAAACAAAGTTGTACAGCACATTACAGTCTAAGATGAGACTGGTAAGCATCCATTGACTTAAACTACACCAGGTTTCACCTTCAATAGTTACCACTATCATCATTTTGCTGGGCTGCTTTAATCTTCCTGATCTAACAACTTGGATGAGGAGTAGAACTCAAACCAAAAAAGTCTATACAGAAATCCTTTTTCCCAATCATCCAATGATCCAGCTAATGAAACTGCGAAATGGGAAGGAAAGGAGAGAGGATGGCTAAACCCAGCAATCAAGCTCTCTTCACTACATCCAAAGTCTTTGGAACACTCACTGCAGGAGAAACTCAGTATGAAAAAGTCCAGCACAAGACCTGTGGAGTAAACCCTATTTCTCAAACTGGGGTACACAAAGCTCTAGAGGGGACACAACAGGAAAAAAATAATTAAATCCTTAAGCATACGCTTTTCTCTATAAAGAAAGTCAGGAGAAAGATATCTAAGGCTAAGTACAGACATTCAAAAAGGCCGAAGCTGAATCGATTCAATCTTCGCAGGTTATTCTAAGCTGCGTAGATTGAACAGATAAGCAAGTGAACAGACATTCACTTTTGATTCTGGAAATGCAGCCACATGTCTGCAGTAGACCAGAAAAGAGGTGGGGGGATTGCTAGGGCACACCTCCTTGCTTGGCTGGAGCAGACAGCTTGGGCCAAAGCCAGCCCACACACCCTGGGGGAAGGGGGTCTTGCAGGGGAGGTGCAAAATCCTGGGATGCTGGAGGACTATGAGTTAACTTGAATCTGGATGGGATCTGGGACAGAAGTTCAATAAACCAATTTAACTTAAATCAGTTAAATTCAATATTACATCCATCCAGGTTTACATTAAACCATTTTGGTCATTTTGAAAGAAGTTTATGTGCACCGAACTTCTGTTGTGTTACAGATTTGAACCAGCTTCCGAACACTTATACCAGTTTGTGTGTGTCTAGCCTAAATGTTGAGTTTAAGGCTTTTTAAACATAGTATAACAGTTCATGTACTGTATTATGGGCTTGAACATGAAGGAATCTGTTGATTGCAAAAGACTGGCAAAGTCAACACATGCACTGGTACCTGGTTTCCAAAAACAGGAAATCCAATTATGTATTTCATAAGATTAAATTCCAATTACCATCCTAATTAAGCATCTTGATGCAGAACAGGAGCACAACATATGTAACAAATAAGCAATATATTTA